TTAACAATCTGTAGGCCGCCGTATAATTTTTAAATGAATGAAGAATTTATTTTTCTTTCCTAAATTCAATTTAGTTACATGCAATTATTCTAAACTTTAAATCCACTTTTTGAAATGATTTTCAGTATTTTTTATTAAAATATGTATTTTATTAAAATATGTTCATAGTATTTTTTACTAAATTATGTACAATATTTTTATCTATTTTTATAGAAACATGTTTTCAACAAACATGTTTTTCAAAGATTATTTTTTACAAATCTCATTATAATTTGAATTTTTACATAATATTCATATTTATTTTACATTTCTTCAAAAAAAAAAGTTAATTTTTATATTTATATTTTAGAATAAGAAAATAAAAATATTTTATAAATAACAATTAATTCTAAAATTTAAACATGTATAAACGTGTTTATAATGTTTGTTTTATTATTTTGTCTGTCTACATCAATTGCACACTCATTGCAGGCCTTGTCTAATCTTTTATTAATGTTTATTTTAGAATTATAAATAAAATACAGATTTTTTCTATTTTAAAATTATTTGATTTTTAAAATATTCTACAATAAAAACTCTACATATTATTCCAGTCACAATTGCTGCTCCTGCACTTTGGCCAGTTCTTTCAATATCAGCCTAAATTCAAATTTATATGTATATTAAAATAAATCTTAGCGTAATATAAATTTAAATATATTATTCTATCTAACTGATAAACATTATTACTGATATCCACATCCGTGTTTAATGTCACTGATGTTCTATAAAAATTACATTATTCATATTAAAATTATAGTTTATATGTATTATGTATTAGACATTCAATATTATTAAAAAATAAGATAAGGTGAAATGATATAAAGAACTTCACAATCTAGAATTTTAAATAGTATATATTTATTAATTATAAAATTCTTAAATTTATTCTTAAGTTTATGCATTGATGCAGTGTCTAACACATGAAGCCCCTGTTTGGCTAATTTATACATATTGATATTATCTTATTTATATAATTTTTTAATTAAATAATTTTTAAACGTTATATACCATTTAATGTGTTTATGAATTAAATTTAAATTTAATGCAGGTTGCAACATTGAAAAATGATAATTTTCGCCAAATATTAAATTATAAAATAATGTATTATATAAAATAATGTATTTATCATTTTTCGATAAAAAATAAAAATTTTTATTATTTTTCGATACATTATCATTTTTCGATAAAAATGATTAATACATAAGTATATAATTTATTTCTAACTCATAGCAACGACTGACTTCAATGTAAAGTTCCTCCTCATAATCTCATATGATTAATTTTTATAATTAATTTTATTTTGCATATAAGTCTTTAAGTCTTTCAATATCAGCCTAAACTCAAATTTCTATATTAATTAAAATAAATCTTAACGTAATATAAATTTAAATATATTTTTCTATCTAACTGATAAACATTATTACTGATATCCACATCCGTGTTTAATGTCACTGATGTTCTATAAAAATTACATTATTCATATTAAAATTATAGTTTATATGTACTATGTATTAGACATTCAATATTATTAAAAAATGAGAACAAAATAAAATAAATTTTCATCAAAATCTAGAAATTCAAAATCTATATTTATTAATTATACAAAATTCTTAGATATATTCTTAATTATATGCATTAATGTAGTGGCTAATATGCATTGCGTATCTAAATTTTACTAGATCTACATTGTCAAAAGTACTTTTAGAAATGTATCTTAAATTTTATATTTTTAGTTTTATTAATCTCATTTTTTAAATTGATTGTTTTAGCTAGATACTCAACTATTAATTATTAAATTAAAATATTCCAAATTATTCTTTAATTTTTAGATTTATACACATATTCTAAATGGTTAATGTACTATTTATTTTTTAAAATTATCACAAATATATCTTAGTTATTTTTTATAATACTTTAAATATATTTTATGAAAAATTCATAGTAATTTATGTATATCATTGTACTTGATATGTTTGTACTTTAAAATTATAGCTATGTAAATATAAAATATTTTAATTAATTTTTTTGTTAATTTGTTAACGTTATTATATATAAACCTGTGATCTAGATATTAATTTTAATTGTGTGAATAATCAACATACACACAAGATCCAGAGAATTTGACGTCTTTTAAGAAGCTCTCCATTGACTCCCAAATGGAGAGCTAAGAAGCTCTCCATTGACTCCCAAATCTCCTTTTTCTCCTCGCTAACTTGATTTTGTTTAGATGACATAATAATAATCAGAATATATTATCTAAACGAGAAAAAAACAAGTTAGTCTTGAACGATCAACATACACACGAGATCCAGAGAATTATTAAAAGATCCAGAGAATTTAATAAAATCAAATGAACAAAATTCTAATTCATTTTTCAAGTTCAAAATTTCTTTGATAAATATTTCATAAAAATTTGATAAAAATTTCAAAAATCCATTAATAATTTATTGTAATAATAATGTAAATCCATGTGCTCTGCTTATACAGTTTAGTTTTAACTCTGTATCAAACACCCTCATATTTTTATTTAAAAAATGATCTGTAAATATTTTTTGTAAACGATTTATAAATCTTTAAGAAACTGCCTCACAGAAGCAGAAAAAAATCTATGTAAATTCTGTGGAAATTTACATAGATTTTGATGATTTCTATTAAGTATGTTATGTTTAATTAATTGAATTATATTAATTTTATTTTTAATAGATAAACATTATTGCCGATATCTACGTCCACTTTATTTTAACTTATATATTTTATTAATTAAATATTACATTATTAATTAAAAATTATTATTTAACATATGTATTAGCATTCAATATTATTAAAATCAAGAAAATTTTCTTTATTTATTATTAAAATAAAGAAAATTATGTATATATTTTATATTTAATAGACATTAATTAAGCATTAAATTTAGAATGTTGCAAATTAGTTTTCTAAATTTGAGAATTATTTACTCTAGATGGTAAACTTATATTTTTGTAATTATGATAAATGTAACCCAATAATTCTCTAATTTATTTTAAATATATTATAATAAAATTTATCATTATTTATATTATTTTATTATACTATCGTTTTTTTTATTTTTGTGTTGAATTTTTCGATTTGATCGAAGTATTGCAAAATTTTCAATTGCTAGTACTCGAATTGTAGCAGATTAATTTTTGTATGTAGGCTTTTATGAATTTTATTTGGAGTATATTCAAATTTATACACCGATTATATATTTGTAGTGACTGATTAAACTTATTCTAAATCCTTTACTTGTAATATTGTATATTCAAATTTTCTAACCGAATTTTTAAATTAATTTAATGAATAATTATATTACTTATAGTCATTTATTAATGTTTGTCACAAATTTATTTTTATTATTGCTGCATCTGCTACGATGGCCAGATTGTCCGCATAGTTGACTTTTGGCATATATTTACTTATTATATCGAGTATTTACATACGCCTCTAACATTTGTTTATTAAATTCTGTAGTTATTAAATTATTAAATTCTTCTAGAGTATGTTTAGTTTTAAAATATTATATTTAATTAATATTTATTACTTTTATTCAATTATAATTTTATAAAAAAACACATAAATTAATATTCTGATGCACCAATTTTTATATATTCGCTATATTTTTGTTAAGATGCTCATCAAAGCATAATATTTATATTTCTGCAAATATTGTTCGCAAAAAGTCTGCAAATATTGTTCGCAAATATTGTCCGCAAAATTGATTGCAAATATCCGCAGAAAAAGTCCGCAAATATTGTCCGCAAAATTGTACTCAAATATCTTCAGAAAAAGTCCGCAAATATTGTTCGCAGAAAAAGTCTGTAAATATTGTTCGCATATATTGTCCGCAAATATTGTCAGCAAAAAAAGTCCGCAAATATTGTCCGAGAAAAAGTCTGCAAATATTGTTCGCAAATATTGTCCGCAAATATTGTCAGCAAAAAAAAGTTCGCAAATTATGTTCGCAGAAAAAGTCCGCAAATATTGTTTGTCCGCAGAAAAAGTCCGCAAATAATGTCCGCAGAAAAAGTCCACAAAAATTGTTTGTCCGCAATCTTTTTGTTCGCAAGTATGATTTTGTCCGCAAAAATCTTTTTGTCCGCAAGGAAGTTTTAGTCCGCAAGTATGATTTTGTCCGCAAAAATCTTTTTGTCCGCAAGGAAGTTTTAGTCCGCAAGTATGATTTTGTCCGCAAAAATCTTTTTGTCCGCAAGGAAGTTTTTGTCCGCAAGTATGATTTTGTCCGCAAGGAAGCTTTTGTCCGCAAGTATGATGTTGTCCGCAAAAATCTTTTTGTCCGCAAAAAACTTTTTGTCCGCAAAAATCTTTTTGTCCGCAAGGAAGTTTTAGTCCGCAAGTATGATTTTGTCCGCAAAAATCTTTTTGTCCGCAAGGAAGTTTTTGTCCGCAAGTATGATTTTATCCGCAAAAATCTTTTTGTCCGCAAGTATGATTTTGTCCGCACGGAAGTTATTGTCCGCAAGTATGATTTTGTCCGCAAAAATCTTTTTGTCCGCAAGGAAGTTTTTGTCCGCAAGTATGATTTTGTCCGCAAGGAAGCTTTTGTCCGCAAGTATGATGTTGTCCGCAAAAATCTTTTTGTCCGCAAGTATGATTTTATCCGCAAAAATCTTTTTGTCCGCAAGTATGATTTTGTCCGCACGGAAGTTATTGTCCGCAAGTATGATTTTGTCCGCAAAAATCTTTTTGTCCGCAAGGAAGTTTTTGTCCGCAAATTAATTTTTGTCCGCAAAAAAATTTTTTCCAAACTATTTTTTTTATTATTACTTGATATTTGATTCGCGTTTTGTATGTTGTTATAATTAATTTATTTTTTTTTAATTCGCGTTTTATATTAATGTGATATTTTCGCGTTTTAAACTTACATTTTTTATTTTCAGATCGTATTAAAATATATCTTTTTTCATTAATTATTATAAATGCCTACACAATCCGAAAAGAAAAGAAAACAACGCAAGGGGCGGTACCGAAATTTAGGTGAGCAAACCCAAAACGGTCCTTCTCAGGACCAGGGGGAAACCCCACTTATTTCTGCCCACCAAAATGAAGTATCTTCTTCTGTTGAGTTTTCTTCTATGTCCCAAAATGATTCCACCTTCCCCACCGAAAGTCAATTATACTTTACCTTCGACAACTTTTCAGTTATTGACCAATCCCAAGACACTCAAATCCCCGACCAACCTGCTACTCCTACTACACCTTTAACCCCTTTTTCTATAACTTCTGAAGCTGCTGTGCCAAGGAAACAGAGAAAAATTAGTGAGTCCTCACTCGATACAGCAAGCTTAATTTCCTCTCTTGATTCTGTTTCCATTATTTCATCCCGTACTTCCTCACCTTCAACTTCAAATAAACGTAAAGTTGGCCGTCCAAAGAAACAAACCCGAAAAAGCGCTGGCCGTAAACCTAAAAATCTTCCGCATCCAAATCATCCAAATCCCTCAGTTCCTATTATTGATTTTTTAAACCTTCTTTTACTAAATTTTGTTACCCAAAAAACCGATGACCCAAATGCAATTTGTAACCGAACCGACATGCCACTCCACCATGACAATCTTGAAAATAATCCACTTCATATTGAAATACTTTGGAATAATTTGACAGAGTGGCTAGAAGGTCAAGATATTTTTGGTTTCATTTCCTTTCTTTCCCGAAACGTAAACACAAACACTGTTGTAGTTGACCCGCGTACTACTCTTCCTTTTGATATGAATTATGCCCATAACCTTCCCGACGAAGACTTTTTTGCACGTTGTTATGGTTTAGTTCAAGGCGAATTACCTCAAGTCATAGTATTCCCACTTAATTTTCCTGGCCATTGGACTTTAGTCGTATGGGATGCGACTGAAAATACTGCTTTTTACATTGATTCTACGTGCACTCATCTCCCTTCTCGTATCCATGCCGATGAAAGAGCTCCAATTGTCAAATCTTATATTACACGCATAACCAATATTCCTATAAATGATATTAATATTGTCGATTATCCCCTTTCTCTTTATACACACCAACAAGATGGCTATAGCTGTGGCTATTTTACCTGTTTGTATGCTGAATCTTGGCTCTTAAATAACCGAAATATGTTATTTGAACCTTTTAATATTAACACCGAAAAAAAGAGAATTCTTTGGCACCTTAACAATCTTCTTACCGGCGATAATGTTGTATACCATCCTCGCTCCCTAAATGCTTATCCACATATATTTCCTGATAACACATCATCTCATCCCACACAAGATATTGAACAAATAGTTATTGATGACCCACCATCTCACCCCGCACAGAATATTGACCCTGAAATTCCTGAAGAAGGTGTAGTAGTTAACACCGGCCCAATTATTTTCATGGAACCCGACCCTCCATCAAAAAACTTGCGCCGGTCAGAACGCATTAAAACAAAACAGAATGCTACACCTAACCCTACTATCTCAAAAGCTTCACCTATTGTTTCTTCAGTTCCATCATCCTACCCATTTGTGGATAAATGTAATAAGAAACATAAAATAGACTTTCCCTGCGCTGATACTCGTGCAAGACATACAGCTAAGTATTATGACTCTGGAAATTTAGGTGATGCCATTTGTGATTATTGTAAAGCATTATTATTTAAATCCGAAGTTCATAAAGCCCATAAATATACACATAAGCGCATTGCTTCATCCTTTTGTTGTAAACTTGGAAAAGTTACTCTTCCTCCTTACACCCCTCATCCCAAATACTTGGTAGATTTGTTAAATGGAAAGTCAAAAGAATCCAAAGAATTTCTTAAAAACCAAAATATTTATAATACCCTCCTAGCATTTGCCTCAATTTCCTGCGGTCATGAAGACTCTTCCCTATATGGAGCAACATGTTTTATGTTGAACGGAGAATTTTCCCGTATGCTTAGTTCTATGTTCTCCGGCCATTTAACTCCTTCTTTCTCCCAATTATATATTCTTGACGCAAATGAAGCCCTCAATTTACGCACCCAAAATTCCCAATATGGTGGAGATCGTGTCGACCCATCAACCCTGAAAAAGTTAGATCAAATGCTTAGAGATAACCACCCATTTCCCAAGGTATATAAAAATTTCCATACTTTATACAAAGAAACCCTCGAAAGGGATGGCCCTGATTCTGTGAAACATTTCCGCTTAACTCTCATAGAAGAACGAGAGGCCCCTGTTATTATTAGAGACCCTACTCATCATCCTCGACAAGTTAATTTACCCGACGAAAAAGCAATGTTTTCAATTTGCACCGAATCCGATCAACCCCCAATTAAAGGTATCTATATTACTGATCTTCAAGGTTCATTATTTGAATTTCCCTATTACCATCCCCATGTAGACTCTGCTACTTATCCTTTACTTTTTCCTAACGGAGATGATGGATTCCATAAAAACTATAAATTTAATAAAGTTACAAAAACTTCTAATAATAATACTAATTTATCTGATAATTCCTGCTCTGATGACGAACTCGACCATGACACACACAAACCTACTCTTTCCTTACGCGACTACATACGATACCGTTTAGCTATACGCAAAGACGAGCCACTTCATAATATTTTCAGTGCAGGAGGTGGCCTTAGTCAAAAGTTCGTTCTTGACTACAACGCCAGAATAGATGCTGAGGTAGCAAGTTTCCTTCGAACTGAAGCCCTTGACATGAAGAAGACCCACAAAAAAAATATTCTCCATCACATTGCCCGAGGTGCTAATGCCCAATCTATTGGAGATATAGGAAGTTTAGTCATGTTTCGAAAATATCATCCTGGCACACGTCCTTACTTTCAAAATATGTTTTACAATGCTACCACCATTATGGCTCGCACACGTAAACCAGGTTGTGCTGCTTTTATGCTAACCTTTACTTCTAATCCCCATTGGCCCGAAATCAAGCGAAATTTCCTCCGCCCAGACCAGAAACTGGTAGACCGTTTCGATATAATTTGTCGCGTCTACGAAGATAAGAAGCGTCACCTAACCCACCTTATTAACAAAAAGAATATTCTTGGCAAAATCCTTGGCTCAGCCCAAAGCCGTGAATTCCAAAAGAGAATTGGAGGCCCCCATCTTCATAGAGTGTATTGCACTGACACAGAAGCAACCCCAGATAATATCGATGGTTTAATCTGGGCCTATATTCCACCAGAACCACTACATTCTGATAAATCAGATTGGGCAAACTTCATTAGAAAAATTCGTGAGCTACTCCCAAAATTCCAACTTCATGACTGCGGCGCACACTGCAGAGGCAGTAATGGCCGTTGTAAGAAAAGTTTCCCAAAACCTTATTGCACTAAAACCAAACTCCACGCTAATACGCCCGCAGATTATTATCGCCCAAGCCCCGAAGATGGTGGTGAAGTTTTAGAGATTCCACGCGGACAAGCCACCATTAAATACACCAACTCTCAAGTTGTCCCTTATAACCCATTAATCCTCGTAATGTTCGAATGCCATCACAATCTGGAATATTGCTACGGCCAGTCCGACAACCTCAAATATGCCCTCAAATATCCCTTTAAAGGTGCCATGTTTTCTTATGTAAAAACAGCTGCCGGCAAAATTAATGTCGACGAACCTGCCCAATACGCTAAAATGATTTACAGGAGTCCTACTGAGGCTTATTCACGTATTGAGGGGCTTAAATACGCTGAACTCTCCCATGCTGTTATTCCACTTAGCATCCACATGCCCGATGATCCTCCTGTTATCACAACTCCAGCAAACCGCAAACAAAAAATAGCTGCTATTGCCCGTGGAAAAGATCCCGAGACCCAATTAACTGCTTACTGGAAACTTTGGGCCGATGATAAGGCTAACCCTTCAATCAAAAATATTTTATTTGAACACCTTCCAGAAACCCATGCCTTTCATACAGATGTGCAACAGTGGTTACCCCGAAAAAGGAAAACTGAAAAAGGAAATCCCGTTATCGGTCGTATCTACCCTGTTTCCCCAAGAGAACAAGAGTTGTTTGCCCTTTATGTCCTTACAAAGCACTTCCCTGGTGATCCCGACCACCTTCTTACCGTCAACGGTGTTAAATATACATCATTTGCCGAAGCTGCAAGGCAGCATGGACTTTTCGAAGACAACTCTGTCTGGGAACGCACTCTCAAAGAAGGTTCCCAATCACTTAACCCCTCTCAGATGAGACAGTTATTCGTAAATATCCTTTCATTCGGCTCAACCTCATCCTGCGTTGTTGATGCATTACACCTTTGGAATATGTTCAGAGAACATATGTATGACCGTCGTTGCACTGACGCTCAACGCCCCATTCGTATTGACAGAGCTCTTGCTATAATTGAAAGACATTTACTCTCTAATGGTAAAACTATGGCCCATTATAATCTTCCAAATCCTACCAATTCCCTCACTGATGACCCAGATGCAGCAATTGATAACTTCTTTTTCCCCCAACATTTAAACGATGATGATACAGATGCAACTGTCGACACTTCTTCATTTGACAGAGCCCAATTAAACCCTGAACAACAAAACTTTTTTGACCTCATTATTAATTCTGTTACAGATAATAATTCCACCCAAAAACTCTTTTTCTTATCCGGTGATGGCGGCACAGGCAAAACATTCTTATTAAATTTCCTCCTTTACCACTTGCGAAGGAACGGCAAAAAGGTTCTTCCTACTGCATCAACCGGTATTGCTGCCACCAAATTTTATGCCGGTGGCATGACCTTACATTCCGCCTTCCGTTTTGGTATTGATCACGAACCTGGCCGTCTTCCCAGCGTTCCATTCGAAAGCTTTTTTGGACGTCGAATTATTGAGAGCAGTGTGGTAATTATTGATGAAATTACAATGCTTGATAGGACCTTATTTGAAAATGTCGACGCCCTTTGCCGTAAAATGATTTCCCGAAATAAAAAAATTCCCTTTGGTGGAAAGGTTGTCATCATTAGCGGTGATTGGAAGCAATCACTCCCAGTTGTAACCGACACATACGCCCCACAAGCCGCAGTGGCTGCTTGTGTCCAAAGTTCAACCCTTTATAATAAATTCCACAAAACCCGTCTAATGCAAAATATGCGCCTCCTCCCTTCCGAGATTAGATTCAAAGAATGGTTATATAACCTTGGAACTGACACTTCTGGTAATAAAATCGCTATCCCTAAATCCATGCTTGTAGAAACTCGTGAAGAGTTAATTTCCTTCGTATTCGACCAAGGCTTTAATATCCCAAGCAACCAACTCCTCACCAGACTAATGCTCGCACCTACAAATAGATTAGTCGATTTGAATAATGACCTCATTCTTTCCTCTTTTAATAGTGAAGCCATGGACTATTATTCACTTGATAAATGTCTTACTGAAAACCCATTAGATCCTTATGCCGCCCAACAAGACGTATCTTATCTAAATAATGAAACACCAAAAGGATTTCCAGCCCATCATTTACACCTCAAAGTAGGTGCAATCATTGTTTTACTAAGAAACCTTAACACAAACAAAGGCTTGTGTAACGGCACCCGACTTATTGTTAAAAAACTTACCACTAATTTAATAGAAGCCGAGACAATCAGTTTATCTTCAACCCAAGGAGTAATTGTTGGTATTTCCCGTGCCCTCCACACTTACAAAGATGAACGCCCCGATGGAATTAGCTTTGAACGCTTCCAATTTCCCGTTCGAATAGCCTTTACTATGACCATTACCAAAGCTCAAGGCCAAACCTGTGAGCGACTTGGAGCCGATTTGTCCGAAGAACCTTTTGCTCATGGCCAACTCTACACCCTCCTGTCCCGGTGTACTAATAGTTCAAATATTCGTATCTTTGCCCCAGAAAAAGAAACAGATTCAGATGGAAATGTCCTAATCAAAAACGTTGTTACCCCCGGAATCCAATTTGATTAAAACCAGTCAGTCACTAAACATAAGCTAAATTTTCTCTAAAAAATCACTCTATCCGCGGTTTTGCTCTCAAACCGCCTACCAGGCTTTATGATGGTGGGTGTTGTCATGGTTGGCAGCAATTAAGGGAATAATTTTTCAATAAAATATTTAACTATAATTTTTGTTAAAATTCTGTTTTTGTATTTTTAAAAAATTTTAGTTAATATTAACTATTTTTTTAAAAATAGGGACAACAATAAATTGCTGCGGCCATGACGGGGAGTATAAATCGTTTTGACTGACTGTAAAAGGATAGAGGATAGACCGGTGAAGACAGGATCGCCTTATGCAGGTGCGTTCAGTGGACGCACAGGATCCTACATTTGGCCGTCTTGTAGCTCCCATTATTTTTTCCACCACCGGTCTATTTATGCCTTCCACATCACTTCCTTTCATTTTCCTTTAACGTTATTTACTCCCACTATCCTCTCAATTACCGATTCCCATCCAATCTACGCTTCCCACTCATTTTCTATTATTATGCGATGTGCTTCAGAATTGAAGGTACCGCTTTCCAATTTTATCTACCCTTCCTTCCTTCCCACCCTTCCCTGGGGTACAGGGTTTGCCCGGTTACCTCCATGCACCTCCACGCGGTGTACCCTGGATATTTACTAAGCATGGTTAAACCCGGGAATTTTCATAAAAGTTTTTACTTCTCCATTCTATATTTTCCTATTCTTTTTCGATGTGTCCTCCCATACTTCCCTATTTATAGTCGATGAGTTTCAGAGTTGAAGGTACCGCTCCTTCCCATTTCTTACTATTTTTCCCTCCCATTTCCTATTCCTATGCGATGTGCTTCGTAATCGAGAAGGTACCGCTTCCTTCCTCTTTTTATTTTTTACAATTTTTCCACTCCCATTTCCTATTATGCGATGTGCTTCGTAATCGAGAAGGTACCGCTTCCCTCCCATTTTTTTATTTTTTTTACTATTTTCCCCTTCCATTTCCTATTCCTATGCGATGTGCTTCGTAATCGAGAAGGTACCGCTTCCCTCCCATTTTTTTTTACAATTTTTTTTTCACCCATTTCCTTTCTTAGCGATGTGCTTCGTAATCGAGAAGGTACCGCTTCCCTTCTATTTTTTTATATATTTTACTATTTTCCCCTCCAATTTCCTATTCCTATGCGATGTGCTTCGTAATCGAGAAGGAACCGCTTCCCTTCCATTTTTCCCTATCCTAATGCGACGAGCTTCAA